AATTTAAATGACAATTAACGAAATACATAGGGGTTGGGGAAGGAGAATTTACACATTTCCCTGCCTTTCCTTAGTTGTGTAATTAAAGGTTAGCCTAATAATTAGAAACAAATAATTCTGTTCCTTTAAACACTTACAGGTTGAGTATCATCTATAAACTATCAAAAAATATTTTAATTACTATTTCTGACCAAAAAATAAATACAAGTACTAAAATGTTGAAAATTAATTATAATATTACATACAAAACTACTGAGTACTGTTAAGTCAATAGTAAAATGATCCCTGATTTTATGAATCCTGTTAAATTTTTGGTCAGGTCATCTTTTAAATGATATAAAAAGAGTACTGTTACTTGCCTTCAATATAAAGTTCTGACTCAAATTTCTAACATTGTCTGAGGAGTAGAAAACATCAGTATGGTACAAATAGTAGGCAATGTATTGAAGCCCCAGATTTTTGCAAGTAAAACTGTATAAAGACAGATGTTGAAACATTTACGTTTTTTTCAACTGCATTTTTCAGTGGGGATATATTCACAAATTATTCCTTCTGGTCCTCACAAAATATGGCTTAATTCTTTTAAAATGAAAGATGACCCTGACACCTGCTCTTCTGCAAACTCTTTATCAGGTACACTTCTGCTTAAAATATTAGAATCATAGAATCTGCTGAGTTGGAAGGGACCCATCAGGATCATCAAGTCCAACTCCTGGCCCTGCACAGGACACCCCAAGAATCACACCATGTGCCTGAGAGATTCATTCTGTAATATGCAAGTAAACCTTAATGACTGAAGGAGATTCAGTGTAGATCTGAGAGACCAAAGAACTGAGATATTGGTTGTGCAGTTTCAAAGGATTATTCTGTTTTAAAATGGAAGTTGTTATTTTTTAGTAGCGTTAATAGATATGGGCTAGATTTTACCATTAGTATTGCAGTATGCTCTCCACTGAATTTAATGGCAAGTTTATCTATAAATAAAATTACCTGATGTGGCCCATATGTATCCAATGTACCGATTCATTTATATAATTAAACCATACACATGCAAATTTAAGTGGGGAAAAAAATATGTGCATGTGTACGACACGTATAAAAGTTGGAGAAAAGTCTTTTTCTACGCCAAATTAGATGCATACAGAAAAAAATACATGTTGAGAGGAAAAGGGCATTGATGTTCAGTAGTGAATGTATGAAGCAAGCCCCCATTCATATGTAGACATGTTTTTGATATTACATAAAAAAAATTAAGTGTGCTAAAAAGTCCAATGTAAATACTTTGAAATTTATGTAAAAACTGCAATATGAAGGTAATTGGTCTCCCTTAAATTCTATTAAAAGTTACGTATTTAAAATGAACTAACTTCTAACTACCAAATTTATAAAGACTTTATATTATTGAAAGTTCAAAACAGCTTCACTGTTTAATATTTGTATTTCTATCAAGACCCTGAACTGCAAATTTGGTTATTAGCAAAATGATAATGTAACTTGGTATTCATTTTGATAAACTGAAAATGTTTTGAAATGTCACAGCAGCAAATACATTACAGTTACAGTGAGGTTTTTCAATAGGAGTGTGACACAATCCTTAAATAAATTTTAAGTAGTCATAACATCAACTAACCAGCACGTTTAAACAAAAAAACAAACAAACCCAAACCATTCTTAAGCTCATTCTGTGCACATTATGAACATGCTCTAAGTTGCATTCCAACTTTCTTTTTAAACCTTACAAGTTACCTTAAATGTCAAACTAAAAAGGAAAATTATGTTAAAGTTTAAATTATTTTATGCTCTTAGTATTCCATCTTATTTCATATTTAATAATTCTATAACTACAGTAATTTCTCAGATTTCATAAGTGTACACTTTGTAAACACCAATTTCTTTCTAAACAAACAACAAAATTTTCTTAAAATGATAAAAAAATGCAGTTTATGCCTGCTAAACACACATTTTTAGTAATGAAATGTTTTTCTTACTTGTATTGGATATTTAAGTAACGATAAACTTTTTTTTTTCACAGAATGTACTATATCCTACTAATACTTCACAAATCCACTTCCTTGTAAGGAACTAGCCTTTTTTTTTTTTTTAAATCCACTGCTTTGTATAATCTGAGTTACTTACAATTTATTGCAAGTATTCTGTGAACTATAAAGTCTGCTAACCCTTGGTTGTGTATTTCCATAATAAGATGGATAATTGAATGGGTAAAGTGGTTCTCCACCAATTAAAAATTATGCTTCACATGACAAATACTTCTTTTCCCAAAACATCTTTATGCTATTGACTACTAAATAAAACCTGAATCTTTTCACCTATTTATACAAGGATTATATTAAATACACACTATCAGAATTAAGTGAGCAACTCTATAATTCTGTCCACAGTGAAAACCCTGAATAAAACTATTTTTCAAAAGGCATGTATGTGGTTTTTGAACTGTATAGTTTCACGTCTTCTGTCAGAGTGAGCATATGTATTTCTCACGTAGTGTGTGTATACAGACATACATACACACACACACAACAATTCGCTAACAATTATTCTACACAGGCTTGCTACTATTTTTGCAGCTGCCAGTCCCTGAATCTGTCATATTAAATAAGCCAGTGTCTGGTAATCGGAGTTTCTTCTTCGGTGGAGTCTTCAATGTTCCAGATCTTTCTTTTACTTTATATTCTAAAGTGCTGTGAGGTACCCCATAAATTCCTTGTGCTTTGGAAACACTCATTTTCCCACTCATTACCATTGCAATTGCTTCTTCCATTATTTCGTGATCATACTGCCGATAGCGGCCACGTTTTTTTCTTGGTTGCTTATTATCTTTACGATCCAAACTATCTTCTGTATTTTCTGAGGTTCCGTCTACTGTCCCATTCTTAGCATTAAGACACAAAGGAGAGAGGTCCCCATGCAGAAAGTAGGAGTCAACACTTGAGTGAGTTACAGGTCCAGAACATTCAATTTTGTTCTGTTTAGGGAGGATATTTTTCAATTTTTGAAGAGCTGATCCTTCTAAGACTGAGGAGGTTTTAGAAACGTGGTACATAACATCCAGAAGACCAGCAGTATCAGACTGTGGTTTGGACACAGAACTTATTCTTAGCTGAGGAATTTTTAATTGTACAGTAGGACTTGAAGTTTCATATTGTAGATTTTCACTTTTTTCTTTAAATTGAGTGACCATTCTCTGTAGAGTTAACTGGTGGAGGTAACTGGAAGCTGTTGGGAATTTTAATTCTGAGGTTTCAAGTAGACTGAGTTTACTTTTTTCTGTGCGCTCTGCTTGAGCTCTTGCCCACAAGGCTACTTTTTGTAGGACTGCACAAGTTTCTTTACTGTCTTTAAATGAATAACTATCATTGAAATCTCGAGTTTTATTTTTAAAAGGTGCAGGCTTTCCTGCTGGTAAGGCTTCTAAGTGGAGAAGTAAAGTTTTTTGAGGTATGCCATAAAGTATGCCTGCTTTATTTATGTCCAGTGCTCCAGACTGAATGTCTTTCAAAGCTTTTGAGAGCAAACCATCTGCAAACTCAGCACTTCTTTCCACATAGTCCTCTCTGTTTCTGTGTAGTCTCCTGGATGGATGGAATGAAACGATGGTAAACTGATGTATGAGAGACTCTCACACAGCTATGGAAGGGAAGGGTCCACTCCTTTATTATACTCCTTGCTTCGGTAACATCACTGCTTCTGATACTTTTTAGTCTTTGAGATGTGGTAGTTAAATGATTATCCTAGCAAACTTAGAGTTCTGGTAGGACAGTGCGTCAAAAATCATACGGTGGCTTCTACAGCAGCCCTTCCAAGAACTTTATATCCTAGCTCAGTATTTGATAATAGTCTCATGTGCTTGTTATATTCCCTTGTTCACATGCTTGCAGAGCAACACTGTTATAATTTTAGTTATACAATTAACGTTCCATTAAATACCCAAATCCTGAAGGAGTTTTTGTTAGTAGAAACGTGACGTTACCGCTAAACAAGTAATAAAAGAGTCAACCCCCTCATAGAAAATTTGCAGCAATAAGTACATAACTACACACAAACATCCCAGACTTACACAAAACTAGGCTTTCTACAACAGTAAGATAAAAGTGCTGTTGTTAACAATCAAGTCCATTTTCGCAAAATAAGACACAGTTTAAAAAACTTCTAGTCACTACTTACAGCTCACTAGTTACAAAGTCATACTCATTTTCAAACTTCTTCGTATGAGTAAATTAATAAAATGCACTTCTACATCATTCAACAAATACTGCTACTGTAGTCCTATTTGCAGTAAGTTATTTGGTAAGACGTACAGGTGACAAAAAGGGTCCTGCTATGGCTAGTGGATGGGAGGATGCCAAGATCATAAAATCCAACAAAACAATGCATTTCACTAATTTGGTGGTAGCTTTCAGCAGATGCAATAACATTTTCCATGCTGAATAAAGACATTTAACCATTTGCCACCACACACCATAGTCAGAACCATGATGTAAGTTTAAGTATGATGATTAAGAGCTCTCTCTCACGCGCTTGCTCTCTCTCTTATTAAGGAGTTTTATAGATAATAGTCATTTAACTTGTTCATGTTAGTTGAAGAACATTTTACATCTAATTATTAACATGGTCATTTTTGTCCAAAATTGAAGTTTCCTAAATAAACTCTAAAAGAATTATTTGCATTTTCTTCTACTATTCTATTACTTTTAATGTGTTATGTAATCAATTTTCAGGTAATTTTTAGTAACATGAACTAAAGTTTGGTGATTGTTCTGATAACTTTTCTTTAAACAGAAAAAAAGGAAAAAGACAAATGAAACATATGATATATACATAGACACACACTTATGAGTGACAAAAATTCTTTTGAAAGCAAAATAGGAACCACATGTGTGTGCCAGTATATACAAGTATGTTATGAACATAAAACCTGACCAGAGAAGAGAAACCCGGATTGTCTTTTAGATAAGCCAAAGAGAGTCCTAAATGTTGCTTACCCAGACACTGAGTTTTCAGAACACAATGGATCATATTTTGGTTCTTCCAACCTTGCGCTTTTCTTTGTAGAGAGATCTAGCACTCCATCCCCTGCAAAGAACGAGCAGTGATGATAACAGTGGCTTAAGGATCTCAAAGATTTTGTTAGCAAATATTTTTTACCTGTGGCACAATTTTCAAGCAGCTACTTTATTTTTTAAAATTTCTGACACCATATTCCGTTAACAATGTCAGCCATCAGCAAATGATTTTGTACATTTCATTTGGAAAAACACTTTTTTAAAATACGGAAAAAAATAAAAAATAAACCCATTCAGAGAGAATAAAATCTATAAGAATCTGTATTGAACAGAAACTTGACTGCTTTCCTCAAAATCACGTATGCATCTATATTGCACTGTTTACTTTCAAGGCAACCAAAACAATGCACTTGATATTACTATTATTATTATTATTCATATTTACATACTGTAAACAAACAAGTCTGATGCTGAAGTTAAAATTCACCTAACTAAATCCTAGGCTTACAGGACACTTGAGGTTAATAAGGATCTCAGGAGGCCTCTAGACCAACCTCCTGCTCAGAGTAGGGTCAGCTATGAGACCAGACCAGGTAACTGGATAAGCAGGTAGTACTCCAGCAACTGAGAAGCAAGCTTGAGCCCAGTACAGGGTTTTAAGAAAATGAGACCTATGCCATTAAAGGTTTTAACAGTTTATTTATAGAGATTCCTCCTACTGCCTCCACATATATGCAATAATGAAATTAGAGAAATAGGAAGAGGTGGGAGTCTGGGGTGGAAGTCCGCTCTGTTAAGTCGCTGGTAAATGCTAAATTCAAGATTTATAGTTGGCTGTTGAAGTCTATGAAGCACTGAAACAGGAAAACATACTTTTTAAAAATCAGTATTTAAAACCATTGAAAACTAAAGAAACTAATTAGCACTTGAAATACTATTTCTAGCTTAAAGGTTTTTCTTTAAAAAAAAAATCACATTTTAATCATAGTTAAATCCCCTAAATATATTTAATTTCATACCTTTCTTCCTTGGTTCTCTGTTTCAAACTTGGGCTGTTTTGTGTGCCTGAGCTCTGCGAATTCAATTTTCAGTTTCAACATGTAGCTCAACATTCAACTCTACAATCACCCTCATACTACCCCTTATTACATTGACAGTGTCATTTTCATGTTACTGCTTATTATTTCTAAAGCATCAATCAACTGTATATATTTTCCCACAGCCTCAGATGCAGACATGAAGCACTGGCTGAAGAATCCAAATGCGAACAGCAGAATAAGATGCCAGGAAAATTGTTTGGGTACCTCTCCTTTTTACCAATAATGCAAAGAAATAGAGTTCTGTGTAATAATCAAAGCCAACTATTTGTTTTGGACTGCTTTCTGACTGTTCTTCCGCAACTATTTTGCGGAAGAAGGGTAGAGAAAGTAACATCATTAGTCAGCATTAGGAGAAAAATATTTATAAATATGCCACTTGTCAAAGATGCTCCTTTTCTTCTGAATAGATTCCTTTCAAAGTCTTCCTTAGCCCTAAGAATGTTAAAGGAAGGACTAATGTTAATCAACCTCCCTGATGCAGTGATGTTAAAGAAGAAAAAGTCAATTAAAAACACTACAGAAATACTCTACAGGGACTATTTGGCCCACCAAATACTCAAGTTTGCAGTGTTCCCAAGTCCTGTGCAAGACAGATTTTATCTGTTGTGTTCTGTCAGTCATACAAAGTACATCTCCCTTTCTTAAGTGTTGTGTGTTCCCTTTCACAACAGTTTTCCCATCTGCAATTGATATTCATTGGCAATATGATAAAGTTTAGAAGAGATCACTGGAGAAAGTCACTGGAGAAAAAAGTACTTCAAAGTTGACAACTCATAAAGTAATGAAGAGCTAATCATCTCTAACCAATTTACAAAAAAAATTTCTAGCTAACTAGATTTTTAGGAAAAAAAAAGCCCCAATAAACAAAACCCAAAGGTTCTTGTAAAATTCCGTAATGAAATCTAACTAAAATAATTTTCATTTCCAATCTTTCAGAATTGGCTTTGACAATACAAGGCTAGCAATAAGTTGAAAACTTACTTAAAAGAACACAGTACTGAAAATGCAGGCTTCTGAAACCAAAAATTAGATATATTTTGGGCCTCTAAAGGGTAAGCAGAACTGAAGTCATTTCAGATTCAAGACAGTTCCTCCAACTCAGCAAATGCATTAAGTACATGACACTTCCCTGAAGACAATGCTTTATGGAAAGATGATACTCAGTAAAAAGAACCATGTAAGAAATTTGATATCCATACAAAATATCAGATAAAGTCACTGCACTCCAGATTTTTATTCAGTGATTTCACTTGAATTAAAAAAAAAACCAAAACCAAACAGAAAGCAAAAACCAAACCAAACCAAATCACAAAACAACCCTCACAAAAAACCACCTCCAATTGGTAGGAAAGTGAGAGCATTTGCTACAAAACCTTAAAATATAATAAAATCCCACCTAATGAAAGGAACGTATGTATATATACACAGTAATACCAAACTTCACTTTGGTACATTAGGTACAAGACCAAAAAGTTTGCGAAGGGGCATCCTGCATGTGGACAATGAAACTTGAAAACTTGTTACTTGCAAGGTAGGAGTAGTTTTCTCTAAACTGAGCCAAAACTTTTTACTATTTCTTATCAAATCACTCAAAATAGGTATTAAAACAAGAATTCTGAATAGGAACTGAATGATACCAGGAACAGAAAAACCACTCTCTAAAGTGGTTTTAATAAAAGACATGAAATTACTTCCACTCTTAGCTAAAGCTATGACTACTAAGATGACAGTCTTCATAAACAATACTATGTAACACTGGATAATATAGACAAATTCTTAGATTTTTTCAGATATGCTACTCATGGTCTTCTAATGAAGCTATTTCTGTGCAAATTAAATCATTTTGATCTTCAAAGAAATGGCTCTACCTCTGCCCTTTGCTTCTCAGCACCAGATTATCAGGTAACTAAGACATAACTAAGTGTGATCAAAGTTCATCTTCAAAATAATCAGGACCACAATCATTTGAAACTCCTCCAGACTAGTGATGCTAGAGAAACAGGGAGGGGAAGGGGAAGCAACAGAAACCATATGTGTCAACCTTGAGTTCTTACAATTGGTATTTCTGCACGGATTTCAGCAAATTTCTGGGTTTCAGGAGATCTTTCACTAGCTATTATGAACTTTCTTATTGGATCAGATAACCTACTCTAGTGAGTTCTCAGTATCCAGAGATGGCAAGCACTCTACTAGTGTGGCCACCACTTGCAGCTCCTTCCTCTCCTACTCTCCTAGTAGCTGCTATCACTGGCTTAGGGATCTCAGAGATACATCCCTGCCTACTCTAGCTTTGGTTTCTGCCCTTGGTTCTGTTAGCTGTGAACTTGTCTAAGGCTCTTTGCGAACCCACTGACACTGTCCCTCTTCACAGCCTCCTGTCACAGCAGTTCCTGGTGTTTACAAACTGCAGGTGTTTACAAACCCGCTTCCTCCTCTACGAAGTTTCAGCAAGCCTTCCTTAGTTCTAATATAGTGAGATTTAGTAAATAACAACTCTCCCTTTACCTTGCCCACACACACCATAAAGGTTCTTGTAGCAACAAAACAACAGTCTTGCCTTCCATACCTTTCCTGATGGTGTCTTGCCTTTTGCTGGCTATTTCCTGTGCCGCTGCACACAGAAACTCTTTTCATGGAACTGTCAGTAAGAACATCAAAGCCTTTTATTAATTCTTAACTACACCTTTGACTAACATCTTTTTGCTGACTTGATGTGGTATCTTGTAACATGAAAAACTGCTAGATGAAAACTGTATGGCCAAGTATTGGGTGTCCACAGCACAGTCTTGGCAGCATCTGTCAGGACAGGCGAGGGGCTGCCCCGTGCTGGACACAGACGGTCCTGGTTGGCCCCAACAGACCCATTGCAGGGCACAGCTGAGCCCAGCAGCCATTTGGGCTGAATCTCTGGGAAATCACATTTAAGAAAGGGGAAAAAGTGCCAGATGGACAGAGAAAACAGGAACCAAAAGAATGAAGCAATAGGAGAGGAAAGCCCAAAGGGAGAGAGAAACCATTAGGTACAGACTGTGGACACTGTACACCCACTACCCTTGCACCAGAGGGGTGGGCTGTGGTGGTCACAAGGGAACCTGAAGCGACACTGAGACTGGGAGAGAGGAAAGGCAGTGTTGTAATGTATCTTTTTGTTTCTATTACCTGAATTAATAATTAAATATTTATTTTAATAAGCAATAATTTAAGTTATTTTACCCAAACAGAGTCTGTTTTGCCCACGATGGCAAGTGGTAAGCAGTGGCCGTGTTCTTAACTCACACGCTCTCCTTTCTGTTCTTCCCATTTTCTCCCCTGTGCCATTGTGTGGGAAGCAAGCAAGTGAGCATCTAACAAGGAATTTGGCTGTTAGACACCCTGGCACCCAAGGAATATACACCTACTTGCCTCAAAAATGTACCTCTTTACAGTGCCCTTTTTGTGCAGAAGTATTAAACTGTTTCTTGAATGTATTTACAGCTCATACAATTTATCTTTGTGAACTGCTTCTTCACTGGCTTAGTTTGGAGGACAAGCAATGTTGCAAAAGTATACAATTTTGTTTTTTTGTTAGGAGCAGTGCATGAAAAACAAATTTTCTTTCACTGTACAGAATATTCTTTTCAAGGCCTGGACAGTCTTATGAGTTACACAGATTAGGAAAAAAAGAGCAAGATACAGGTATTTCTGGAGAAAGTTGCTGCTAATTTACAGATGATTGCCTGATTATTTACCACTAAGGTGCACAGGAATTAAAGCATCCTGCTAAATTACCACTTCCATATGCAGAGGAAAGCAGAGGATAATTGGAGACTCCAATACAAGTCAGGTGCCAAACTGACATACCTGGATACCAGTGCTTAAATACCAGTATTCATACTAAATGCTTCAGTACTAGGAGTACAATGGGTTGATCTTGGCCAGTAGCTAGTCCCCAGCTCAGCTCCTCTCTGTCCCCCTTCTCAGTGGAGGGAGAAATAAGATGAAGGTCATCAAGATAAATATCGGGATATCATTTGCCAATGACCATTATAGGCAAAATGGACTTGAGGAAAATTAATTTATTGCAAATTAAAACTAATTTGGATAACGAGAAAAAGACAAAAATTAAAGTGCTTCCCCACTCCACCTTTTCCCAGGCTCAACTTAACTCCCAGCTCCTCTATCTCCCTAACACCCAGTTGGCATAGGCAGGATTGGTAATGGGTATAATTCCTCTCTACTGCCTTTTCCTCCTCACACTTTTCCCCTCCTCCATTGTGGGTTCTCCACAGGCCACAGATCCTTCAGGAAATATCCAGCTGCTCCAATGTGAAGTCTTCCACAGGCTGCAGTGTGAACGAATACCTGCTCCATAAGCTGCAGTGGAACACCCGCTTCACTGGGGCCCTCTCGCTGTGCTCCATGGAAATACCCACTCTGATTTCTGGAGCACCTCCCTTCCCCTTTCTCTCATCTTGTTGTTCACTGTGCTGTTTCTCACTCCTCTGCCTGTCCAGCATTTTTGCACTTTCTCCCTGGCGTGCTCCACTTGGGTCTATGTTGCAGAGCTGGCTGTGCCTTGCACAGGGAAGCCCTGACACATTCTTGTAGATGCCATCCTACAGTGCTCCCCAACTACTAAAACTTTGTCATATGAGCCCAGCATACAGGGGTATCAGATCTGGAAGTGACAGATGTGAGGTTTTTTTGGAGTGCTTCAGAGATGGCCTGTAGGTACTGGAGGAAAGTAAAAAGCTTTCTTCAGTGGAGAACTTTGGTGGCAGAACCTTTTTTCAGTGTTGAGCTAGCACTTAGCTTGGTGCAAAAGCAACTGCTTCGAGTAATCTGGAAAACAGTTTACACCTTCCTCTCAAGTGCAAGAATCACTGCCATAGTAAAGAAACAAGACTGTCTGTTTTACTATTTAGATCATAGATTTCAAAGACAACTACTGTAAATACAAAGCAGCTGCCTAAACAGAAAATGAACCTAAAGCATTTATATTTAAGTCATTATCTGCTTAACAGGATTTGAATTGAAAAGACTTTAACCTTGAGGATCCATCAAATCTGAAAAAGTTTAAACTTCCTACTCTGTTATTGCCACTTCATTTGGAAATCCTAACAGGAATTACAAATAGCAAATGGTAGAAAGAGTTGCATGACAGTTAAACGATACTACTAAGAAGGGCATCCTGGTATAGCTTTTATAAGTCTCCAGACTGAAGAAGTATACTGTGTTAGATACAGAACTATATATTTTTAAAAATATATTATCCAATTAAAAAACCTTCATAATTTCCTACTGTAAGCATGTGACACTTCATTATAAACAAGCTTCCTTCAGGCAAATACAGAAGTGAGAGATAGGCAGAATAATAACAAAAAAAAGCTAATTGAAATACCTTTTTCTTTAATCTTTACACATAGAACACAATGCAAATAAAATGAGGAAGCTGACTTTTTTCATCTTGGTCTTATTTGCTTGTGCTGCCATCACTACAGTGAAAAGCTAAAATGGCTCAAAATTGGTATGTTAATGGGAAACAGGAAGTACAAAACAACTTTCCTGATAGGTATGATGTTCAAGCCACCTTTCTCCAACTACAGTCTTATTTCATCAGCAGCTCTAAATTTCACAGCAAGACCAGTACCTTTATTATCTGCAAAGTGCTCCAGCAAACACGGCAGTTTAAGTTCTGAGAATCTACAGTATCTTATATAGTTTACTGTGTAAGTTGTATTCTATGTGTGCTGAGCAACTATTTTAGCCTAAGCTGTTTCACTGAAGGTGCACATTTCTAAACTTGTTATTTAGCCTGATTGTAAAAAAAATACTCCAAAGATATTAAAAAAAAAATTTAAATAATTTAATTTCTCTATATTTCAGGTTTTTCTTAGATAAAAGATTAATGGATTTTCAAACAGTTGAGGGTGGCAGCACAACCTTCTTCCTGTCCCTGCTCTGTTCACTCTCTGCCTTCCCTTTCATTCCTCAAAGATTTATTTGGGCTCAGCAACAACCAGAACCTGTCACTGGGGACTTTGCTCCCTCATGGACATTTAAAACCAGTTATTTATAAGCAGCTGTTGAAGCAAGCAAAAGGCAATAGCGCTGGTATCAGGAAAGTGTTTTTTGTTGTCCTTGCAAAAGAAACGTGCCTCAACCTGGCCAATTATATATCTCTAAAATCTGGTAATTCACCAATAGCAGAAAGCACAACAGACATTTTCTCAGGATTTAATCTGCATAAGGTATTTACTAAACCCTGGCATTAACTGGGTTTCTGCCAACCACACAGAATAAAAGCAGGAATTCCACTATTTCTTAATGATTTTGCTGTCAAAGAGAAAGGATGCTTGAAATTTCATCTAGAATAGGTATACTTAGCATGAGAATTCCATATCAGACTTCCCTGCCCCCAAGGATGTCATCCAATTAAAGACTGCATCATTAGGCACACACCTACCAGATCTGCTCTCATTCTGACAACGTATATTAAAAAAAAACGAACCCAAAACCAAATGAAACCCAAAACACTTAGTTCTGCCTTCTTTCAACTTTTTTAGTATGGTAAGTGACAAAAGGTCAACTTTTCCCTTTGGTTGGCAGTATTACAGGATTAACACAGACCCTTATATCTGTAAAAGACAAAAGCTGCTTTCGCCACTGCTTTCAGTTGCACATGACAGTCACAACCATTCCTGAAAACTGCTGCTAATCCAAATCTAGTTCAAAGTCCAAAACACTCTTGTGATTATACTGTTATCAGTCTTGGATAGCAATATTCCTTGAGGCAAAGAAATCATTTCCCTTATGAAAATGATAGTGAGACAGACTTTATTTCTCTAGTTTTACTCTCAATTAAGAAAGCTGCACTGATCTATAATGATTAAAGTATGAAGTATGGAAATTTCCTTCCAAATTAATCTTCTCTTTCCATCATTCTAACCAGCCTGTATTTAAGAATCAAAGTGTCCAAGGGCTGATGCAGACTGAGTGACATCTGCTCTCTGAAATTCTAGTATCCTTCTTGCTTTTCTCAGGCTTCTAACAGAATCACTGTTACCTGTGACAGCCACAGGTGAGCTGACTTGGATTCAGTATCCCAAAGCTGTGAAATTCCAATACCACTTATTTAACCCAGGCACTCAGAAAGGAGAATATTTATCTGCTAACACACACTATGAAAAATGTTTCTAGAAAGAATGGAGAGGTTTTTTGTAGTGTGATTTGTTTTTTTTTTTTAACACAGTTCTCTTATAACACTTTTCCTGGTGTTTAAGGAAAAAATGTATGAACTTTCTTTCAGCGTTAAGTTGATGCCATATCAATTTTCCTTCAACCTCTTTTTAAACACATAGGATAATTTTTTTTCTCCTGTATACTGATTACTACTTTGGAAAGGTAAAACACGTATTAGACATTGACGTTTATTTTTTAAGGGAATAAGATGCATTAAGTAACAAATGACAGCAAAACACAGATTAGCAGATATAGAAATTTACCTTGCTGAGTATTCTGTTCTTGAGTTCGATTCACAGTGAGGTCTAGAGGGCTATCCTGTTCTTCCTGAAGGGAGTTTTCCGTTTGGTTCATTTGGACACTTTTACACATCAGACTTGGTTCAAACGATGAACCATTTCTGTTCTCTTGAATTTTGCTACTTTTTGAAATGTACTCAATCGCAAACTGACGGATCATTTTTTTCATTAATTCCTGAGCAACTAGGGGAATGTTAGGATCACAGTTCTGAGGAAGATCTAGAAATAAAAAAAACACAGGTAACAGATATGTTAAGAGTCAAGCTTAATGACTTTTCTTGTAATAAACACTTCCCATAAGCACACAAATGTGTGTAACAAGTACATGTGTCATGAACATAATAATTCAGATGCCAAATAAATTTTTCTTATGAGCATTCCTAACTGGAGGTCACTTGGAAGAACATATTTAGCCCAGATCAGTAATTTTTACCATATTCCTTTATCATAGCATGCAAGTAAGACTATGCAGGTTGCATTATTTATGGTAGTCAGAATGTGCATTTACTGTTGGCAATAAGTTGAATTTTCACTTGCAGACTGTTTCCTGTTTTGAAAATAAAGAATTTTGAATAAAACCAGTGAAAGTTAAATGAGCTGTGAATTAATACAGAAAGAAGTTACTTTCAAAGAACAGCCATAACAAAATAATGTGTAGTAAAGTGTAGTTCTATAGAGTAACATAACATAGAACACTTGGACTTTTGAGGAATTGACCTTAAAAAGAAAAAAAAAATAAGAAGAGAGATTTATCTCACCTTCATATTAGATTATAATACCCACTGTAGGTTCAGGATTGAAATGTCAAAACTGATATGATGCTCCTTAAAATACCCCATACATTTTAAGGTAATACAAGCAATTGAATACAAAAATAAAGCTGTAAATCTTACAGGATTTTCAGGATATTTCCTAAGTGCTATCAATGAAAACGCTTGTAAGAAAAGCTTTATTTCCTCTTCTACACTGGGTGTACTCTATTATTTTGCTTGTGTATGTAACAGTCCCATGGAAAGTAGTATTTCATTTTAGAAACAACAACAATAAAACAATTAAAGGATCAAACATGAGATACCTCTGACTTTATTTTAATGTTATCTGTCAGCTAGAAAAAAGTTAAACCTCTTATTAACAACCATAGATGAAACTACATTTGTGAATCAGCGAAAAGAATCCTAACAGAAGCACCAGATAGAACAAAACAAAGATGTGTAACTTAACATAAATAAGCTGTGTTACTACACTGATGACTGCAATACTTCATGTCCCAAGACAAGCAAAACTGCCCATGCTCAGAGATCTGTGTCTTCCTTGAAGTGGCAGTAGTAGTACTCACTTCACTATCCCACTCTTCTTTCTTTCCTTCAACTCTACACACATACACACCCCCCACACCAAATATCCTTTTCAATGTTTTAACCCTGTCCATCCTTGAGTTCACAGGTAATGAGTGAAGCAGTTTTCAATCCAGAAGGGACAGGGATTTAAAGATTTAAAAGTGTGAATGTGATACAGGAGAAGTAGCTCTTAGGTCCATCTTGATTGCCTGAAAGGAATACCAAAGGACATGATTCTGTAGTTACTGGGATACTAAAGTTAGTCTGAAACAGATAAGACAGATGATAAGTTGAGTTTTGTTTTCATGGAAATGGAGAAACTGAAAGGCCTGGACTGGGGAGATGTTTGCATGCAAAGTGTACGTTTCCTAATAGATAGTTTGGAGGATCGTTTTCACCAACAGAGCATTGTAAGGAATTACAAACACACACCTATGAGATCTGCTGTGTGAAGCACATGAGAGGGCAGCTGACTGTTCAGATGCTTCCTCTCAAGACCTTTTGGTTGGCCTCTCAGTAGAGTTTTATGAAGTACAAGGTCCAAGATTTCCAAAGACTGAGTACATGTTAGACATCTTGGGTTCAAGAGAACTTATCCAAGGCATAACAAAACAAGTCTGCTTATGGTTAAAGTTCTATCTTCTGACAACCTTTCAACCAGATCTCTACCACAATATCTAAAATTGACAGGTGTTTCTTTAAGAGAGGTATGAGGTAAAATTCAAAATGATGGAGAAAAGAGAAAGATCTCTCCCTGCCATGTAACATCCAGGCATTAGTATTCTTTCTTTATATTGTTATTTCCTGATCCTAAATAATGAATCCAGAAAACGTTCAACTGGAATTTTATCATCCTAGAGACACAAGTAAAGAAAAAAATTCAATAGATATTGAAGCAGTAAGGCAATAGGTGTAAAAGTGCTAATGTATATATAAAATATAACAAAAGAACAAGGAAAGTTAAGAGATAAAACTGAATAACTGAATTATCTAGGAACAAAAGTGTTTGCTTGATGGGAATGGTAGTTCTAGACAATGAAAACTGCTGATCAATAGCTTAGCTTAAAAAAACCCCACCAAAACAAACAAAAACAAAAGTCTGACAGTCTGTAATCAAGAAACTCATACAAAATTAATTATACAAAACATTATCATATTATATAGAATAATATAATCACACTATTATACTGAATAGTCTACCAGATATCTCGTCTGGAATGACCCTGCTTATATCAGAAATTAGTTTTTTGCATGCACCCAAGAAAAACTACTTTGATGGCTTCTGGATAACAGGGGACCATCACTGCAAATGGGAGAGAAGAGTTATTTTAAAGGCACAGATCACACCAGGATGTAACAAGCAAAAGACCATAGAGTGCAAGGGACACCTGCCATTAGCTGGAAAACACAAAAGTCTGGAACAAATTTCTCCTTATTAATCACCAACCCCTGCATCAGTTATTATAAAATTGCACAAGAAAACTCATTCAGAACTGTCAAGCTTCTACTGCCTTCCTATTCCAGTTTAGACTATTCACACCGGTAATAGCCAAGCATATATTGCTTTTAGACACTTGAAGGAGAAGTCAACTTTTCCATTAGGAGCAAAGTCATCTTTTGACCTAGTTGAATAAGAAAGGATTTTTTTTTTGTTCTTATAACAAGTTCTTTAGTGTTAGGTTTTATTTTTTTTTAACTTCCAAATATTTCCTATGGAAAAATAAATGCAGCAGAATTCCTCATATATTCAACTGCTATAGCTATTGGTAGTTTACAGATTCTAAGTTAATTTACTCTAAAAAGGTAATACAGAAGTTGGGATGTGTGTATATCTCCGAGCATATGATCTGAAAGACGTGCTCCAGGGATGCATCTGGAGTGCTCTTGCTGCTAATGCAAATTCAATCTACAGGATGAGACTCAGGTAGTCTAAGATTAACTGCCATAAATGCAAATGGTGTTGCTATCACATTGACTGTTCCTGTAATGTAAATCATTAAATGGTAAATCATGTTGGAAGTACCTAGGGAGATCTCTAGTAAAACTGCCTGTTCAAAGCAGGGTCAACTATGAGGTCAAATCAGGTTTCTCTGGATTTTACGTAGTTAGGTCAGGAGTACTTCCATGGATGGAAACTGCACAACCTCTCTGGGTAGCATGTTCCACTGCTTGCCTGGCCTCATTTTTCCTTACACAAAAAAGAACTTCTAATTTCAACTTGACTGTAATCTGTCACTATCCTGCTATGCACCACTGTAAAGGCTTTCACCCTGTCTTAGAATCATTCGATACTCTATGTTGGAAGGGACCCATCAGGATCCTTGAGTCCAACTCCCAGCCCTGCACAGGACAGCCCAAGAATCACATGAGCCCGAGAGTTTGTCCAAATGCTTTTTGAACTCTTGGTGCTGTGACCACTTCACTGTTCCAGTGCCCAATCACCCTCTGGGTGAAGAACCATTTTCTAATATCCAAACTAAACCTCCCCTGACACAACTTCAGGCCGTTCCCTTGGGTTCTGTAATAACTGGTCACCACAGAGAAAAAACCAGTGCCTGCCCCTCATCTTCCCCTCACAAGGAAGTTGTAACTGAAGTGAGGTCTCCCCTCAGTCTCCTCTTCTCCAGGCTGAACAGATCAAGTGAACTCAGGTGCTCCTAATACGGCTTCCTCTCAAGGCCCTTCACCATCTTTGTTGCCCTCCTTTGGAAGCTCTCTAGAGACTTAATGTCTTTTTTATATTGTGGCACCCAAAACTGCACACAATATTCAAGGTGAGGCCACACCAGTGCAGAGCACAGTGGGACAATCCCTTCCCTTGACCAGCTGGCGATGCTTTGCCTGATGCTCCCCAGGACATGGTTGGCCCTCCTGGCTGCAGGGCACTGCTGACTCAGCTTGCTGTTGACCAGGACTCCCAGGTCCCTTTCCGTGGCACTGCTTTCCAGCCTCTCATTCCTCAGTCTGCATATATATTCAGAGTTGCTGGAAATCTGCTCTTGATCCATTACTATTAATGCTGGTTTGCTTCCTGATGGAGAATGAAGCTGTGGATGCTTAACTTGTATTATGAGGAAGAAGCAATTTAGAGCAGTTTGAAGTCAGAAATAATTTCCCGCAGCTCTCCAAATGTTATAGAACACAAACGAGTGCTGTAAGATCTCAAAGAAAAGAAGAAAGTTATACAGTTTCATAACTATATTCTTTTTATACACTCTACATTCCTGAAAAAAAAAAGACTAAGGTAAAGGCAACTTTTATATATTTTATCAATGTAACACTCAAGTTATCAAAAGATACACACTTGAAGTAGGTTACATAAAGTCTTATTACTTGCCTTCAATGGCTGTAAGTCTGCAATGAAAACAGACCTGGAGCATCTCTCTTACAAGGACATAGAGTTGGGCCTGTTCAGCCTCAGAGGGGACCTCATCACTATCTATACGTGTCCGGTAGGGAGGGTGTCAAGAGGATGGAGCCAGGCTCTTCTCAGTGATGCCAAGCAGAAGGACAAGAGGCAATGGGCAGAAAGTGATGCACAGGAAGTTCCACCTGAATATGAGGAAGAACTTCCTTACTGTGCAGGTGACCATGCACTGGAACAGACTGCCCAGAGAGGTTGTGGAGTCTCCCTCACTGGAGATATTCAAGTACCATCTGGATGCAACCTGGGCATTGTGCTCTAGGATGGCCCTGTTTGAGCAGGGAAGTTGGACCAGATGACCCACTGTAGTCCTTTGTAACCATACCCATTCTGTGATTCACAATGGCAAAGTTCCGCTACACATGAGAAATTTGTAATAAGTCATATAAAATTTTTAAATGCAATGAAACATATTCTGGGGAAAGAGAGGCATTAGATCTCTGGCCTTCGTATCACTACTAAATATTTCTTAATTATTATCAGCAGATGGCACCAGATATACTTTGTATGACCTAAAGAGTCTTTATTCTAAGATGTTTCATTAGGAGTCATGATTATAGGTCCTTAAAAAGTTTTAAATCTACATGCCTACATCTGTTTAAACTCCTATTTTTCATAGTTGATTTAAAACACAAGGTATCTGTATTTAGTCCATGGATCTTTTATTCTAGAGATTTGGAGTAAAAAGTAGCTCCAATGTTCCTCCATTTTCTCATAGATTACTGTAACCTGATGTTATTAGGATAAAAGATGGCTAAATGACACATTTGTACACTATAATATTTTCTGCTTGTGATTTTCAAGATTACAGTCAGAATGCAAGAGAAGAGTAATAAACATCATGTAATTATGACTAATTGCAATGATTTATTTTAATTCAAAGCTCATGTTTAGGATTAATACTTACTCAGTTTATGTGCTGCAACAGCTTGTAACTATTTGAATTTATAATCTTAACTACTCCGTACATTATGTGTGATTATTAGACTGCAATGTGCAATATAATGACTGATGTGACTGACAGTTCAGAGTTACACATGTATTTGGCAGGACAACAAACAAAGAGTTAAAAGCTCCCAAAATAGTGTTCCACAATAGTATTCTATTTCTTGAAAATGCGTAATTTTTCATTAAAAAGTCAAACTAATGACTTAATTTTTCTCCTGATACAACACCAAAAGGCAGTGAAAAGCAGCAGGGAATCACAATCCTCTTTGTACCTTACCAGGCTGTTGTGCGAGTAGCAGGACTAAGAACACCTGGTTGTTTATCAGCGTGTTCCCTGCATTCACTCCGCCTTTCCTCTTTTCAGAAATAAGTCATGTTTTCTAGAACAACCCCGCCTCAACAGCCACTAAACTGTCCCAGCAATATTCTTAGCTGTACTCATAAAATTGTTCATGTCACTGTCAGATCACTGACAAGTTAAAACCAGAATACAACAATTTATTCTGAGCCATGTATCACAATTAGTTAACTTGACTGATCAACAAACAGAAGGAATAAAGGCCAAGTCCACTCTAGTTTTCTGCTCTTGTAAATATTCCACGTTTTTCCTTCCTCTACTCAGGTTGCAATTCTCATTACTCTATATACAGTCATATCTCTTAAGAATATTCTTAAACATAGTTGAAAATGACCAAGAAATTCAGAGTCAGTGAAGACAGTAACACTGGCAGGCAGGTGGTCAACACAAAAACTATACTTCCTTATGAAAGCAGTTGAAACCCTGCTATGCATTCTTTCCTGATGAACTTTAAGAGGAATAGCAAGGCTGTCATATAATCTTACTGCACAAGCTATGTCAGAGCTCTCAGAGATTACAGAACACCTTGCAGATTTTGAAAGGACAAATTAGATTTCTTAAAATTATTAATAAAAAGGAACTGCAGGCATTGGATGAAGCAGTGTGTACATCTCAAAACTCCAACTCAGAAAGTAACACTTCTTTTTCCAAATCTGAGATTATGTGTGCAAAATTACATTCTCATAGGTTTGTCAAATTATATATACATTGTCCAAGAAGCATAACCAGTTTATGACATCTATGCAACTAAGACAGAACTATGTAAAGAACAGGAGAACTCAAAGTTAAATTCAGGGATATGGTATGACGTATGAAAGTCATATATATTAATGGAAATATTTTGCAACATGAAATAGACAGCTAGAAACTATTAATAAAGAACTTTTATAAAGCTTACAGGGAAATTACTTTGATCTGGGAAATGTGGCAATGAAGATACTTGACAGAGCAGCCCAGAGAATCTGGGAAGATTCAAGTAATCCCAAACATTCTCCCTGTAATTTTGTGCCATAATTCCTTAACTTCTACAAGAGCTTCTCATATTTCAGTCTTCTCTTAGTGGATCATGTCCTGAAGGTAGAACCTGATTCACTACCATGAATGCATGCAAATAACCCTTTCTTTTTAATTTGTTTTTGTTTAAAGAGGTCACATTAATACTGCATGGAAAAATGAGCTTCTAAGAACACACAATGTGGAATACTAGAAACCCAGAAAATTAATAGTCCATGAACAAAATGTCTGATTAAGTACTTAAACAACCAAGGTTCTGCTATAAAACAATGATCACGTCACATTCTACAATATTCGTTATAAAAAAAAGGCTAATACGTATTCCTTAACAAAAGAAAACAGTTGTATTTTTGCATCATGTAAGTGGAAAAGTATCACAGTCTACTGTGCTTACATGACCAAAAGGGTAAAGAGAGATGTTATACTTGGGAAGAAAGCATCTGGGTTTCAAATACATTTTTTAATGGGAACAATCAATGTTTGACGACAAGAATCATTTTGGCTTTGCTGAGGTGTCTGCTGAGCATAGGACTTTTCTACAGACAACTAACTACCAAACTGGACTTTCACTAACACACAGTGAAGTTAGGTTGCTAATAGGAAGACACTGTCACTTACAGCATCTCTGGAGTTTACACATCTTGGCAGTAATTCTACCGTCCCTTGTCCCAGATTCTACAGACAAGTTGTCATCTAAGAATGTCTGAAGCCTATATGCTGCAGACAATCATATAACGTGGCTGCATGTTCTGAGATCTTCTGAACTAGTTTCCTGATATAAAAAAAACCAAACCCTAAACCAAGACCACAACCAAATGCCCCAAAACTAGTCTGCAAATGAAAAAATCCAGTCATATACTAATTTGTTCTAAAATAAAAGGTTAATGAGACCAACAAATCCAACTCTTAAATTTGCTCACTAGTCTTAGAAGTTGTTCACAGAGGCCTAAATGAAACTGTGCTAGTTATAATAGTAAGAGGGTAGATCATCTTGAGGAGTTTGCAATCCAAACAAGTGTCACTCCATTTTAAAGACAGCCAACCAAGAATTCTGAATTTTTTTGACAATGAAAGCACATCTGGTTTAGTACCAGCTATAAGATCTGTTCCTCAGCTAAGCAGTTACTGGAAATTTTTTGATTCCTTTTTTCCTAAGTTGATAGCTGAACTCAAAAACCTGCATAAATTCAGAAAGCAGACGTGAGATTTTCTCTAGTAAAAATCTTCATCTTCCTTCCTAAAATCCAAAACAGTTACTTGAATACCTCATAAATTGGTTTCACATGCCCTTTACAATATTTTTTGCTTTTCACTTCCTGTAATTTAAACAACTTAAAAGACTTTGCTAAGACTTGAACTGAAGCAATATTCTTGGAAAATTCCTAACCAAGAATACAGAAGTCCTCCAGAGAACCAAAAAATAACTGGAAAAGACTGGTTTTGTTTTTTAATAGACAAAACCTTTTTCATGTAGCATGATTGACCTGGCAGATCAAAACACCTAAGGAAGATGCTAAAAGCCAAATGTTCTTTGTGAAAAACTTCACTAAGGCGAGGTCATGCCAAGTTTCACTTCTCTTATGATAAAAGTTCCTCTCAAGGAGTATCAAAAGGCAGCATCTCCAGCAGAAGCATAAAGCAGGCAAACATTCGAAAACACTGTACACATCAAGACCAAGAAGAGATCTGAGAAAGCAGAAACATGAAGGAATTAAAATACCTGCCTAGGGAGATGCCATGCGATTGGGCCTGTGATGAAAATATAATAAGAATTTCAGAAGTAATGAGGTGCCATCTTCACTGGACATTTTATTTCAAATGGAAAATAGCTTGTTTTAAAGAAAGGCAAGGAACAAAGATAGACTCAAAATGCTGTCGCACTCCACATAAAGTTCTTTAAAATGCAAAAAAGCAAAATGTAGACTGAATAGACACACAGTACATACACCCCAGGTTCAAGGGCATAATAATCTCTCCTGCTACAGCACAGTAAAAGGGAGAAAACCAACTTTGTTTTTTTCTCCCACTTATGTGAAAGAAGAGAGTGTGTCTAATTCTTTGTTAAAAGCAAGAGAGGGCTTTCACCCTAGCCATACTCAGCTATTCTGACATCCAAGTACACCCACTAACCCCAAGAAAAACCTGTGAAAATTGTAGTTACTGAGTAAAGCTTCATTCACCTTTCTTCATTCACAGGAAGCTAAGGAAGAAAATGAGTATTTCTGCTGCTGCTGACGGTGAATAACCAAGTAACTTTCATGAACCAAGCTGACTTGTCAGTCACTCGTGTACTGCTATAACTTTTTGAGTTCCAAAGAACAAGAACAGTCAAAGAATTGATGAGCTACTAAAAACTATATTTTGACAAGAAGTTTCAACCTCCAACTTGGATGTATTTGAAGGAGCAGCTTTTGTACAAGAAGATCCCAAATTCCATTTTGCAATCTGCAAAACACATTTTCTCACCTAAAACTGTTTTCCTTTTGAAAACCAGAAGTGAGAATTTAGGAATAGAAAATGTTTAAATACTTAAAATTCCAGAGAATGGCACCTGAAGTTGGCATGAGGACAAAGTAGCAGCTCATGGTAAAAAAACCCAAACCAATACAATTTGATGAACAGGGATTCAAGAGAATAACACATAATGCAACAGGACTAAGAGGAATGGCAAGTAGGAAGAGTAGTATTTCATCTGGTGATTCTAGTGAGCAAAGAAAAAGATTAGGGAAAACCAAAGGAATAAGGAAAAAAAAAAGCAGAAACATTTATTTCAATAGATAAATAAAAAAATACTTAAGAATCAAAATCAACCCTGAATAATTTGATTCTTCTAGATTTTCACCATATTTCTTAATATAAAAGACATGCTTTTATTACCTTTCTTTCGAAAGAGTGCATTTAGATAGTTTTCTGCTTGGCATTCAATCTTATCAGTGTTGGACTGGCCCTGAGATGACAGTTCCTCTGTAGGCGTTGACTGTGAAGAACCGATAACTGATGCACGATCCTAGAAAAGATATGAAGATCATGACATCTCTCAGAAGTTAGTCTGCTGGTAGTGCAACATACAACGAATTACTGAGCTATTGAATTAAATAGTTTGATTTTACTGGTTCTATCTTGAGTCAAAATGCAGAATTAACTTATCTGCAAAATTAAATTCTCTGATTCTTACTTTCATACCAAAAAATGGGTGTTAGGGAATAATGTTTAATATCATGTTCATACTTACACTGGCTGTTTCTTTGTGTAAATTACAAAAGGAACATTTCTCATCCATAGACCAGTCAGTTAGCTCTTCTGGCTCACAGTCTTAAAGGAAGAAAAGAAAGCTAGATGTTTTAAACAAGTAAAAACAAAATACACATCCTACAATTCACTTAAGTAAATTCTGTCAATAATCTGGTATGTGTTTTTTGGTACAACGCATTCAGTATTATTCTATTCTTCAGATATTTCCAAAGTCTTGTCTGACCTGTACAGCTCAACTTACAAATAGCAGAGAGCACCTTTCTTAAAAGGAAAGGCAAACTCATGCAATTCAACTGATTACCTCTCATAATTACTGAAGGCATCTGAATACTGTAAATAAAGCACTGAATTGCAGACATTATTCTTTTTAACAAAGCGTGCAAACTTGTAGTAAACTAAGCTAGGAATTAGGATATGAACTCCTCACCATTTGAGCTACATGAATTTTACTTACAATATTTTAATTGACTTGATACCATCACCATAGGTAAACCCAAGCCATATACTCACTTCTAGCACTTGATTTATCTAGAAAAAATAACTTTATAAGTTTTGTCAGAAGATGTACTTTGGTCTAGAGGGAATATAGGACTTAAATCTACATCGCCTATATCAGATCCAGTCTTCTACTGAATCGAAACACACCATCTACTTCCTTTAAACAAGTTATTGAGCTTCATTTCAAAATTAAGAAGTTTTCCACCTATACTCTTCTCTTCCCAATCAGGAATTGCTTCAAAGCTTTTCCCAAATGAACAGTGCTAATAGTTAAAATTAAGTTTCTAATTTCTTGTTTAAAATTAACACACATGGCAGTTTGGTTTTGTGGCAACATTATTCTTATACCCATGAACAATAACTTTAGGCATTTAGCACCCTGATGTATTTACAGAGAATACCATTACCCCCTTTACATTTAATTTTGCAGCTAATCTAGTCCACCTGGTTTTCTCTCATGAGATTCAACTCCATATTTTCTGCACCAGTCTCACTTGAACACCTGTTTCCTGAACAGGGGTGACCAAGATCTCAAGATGATGTCTTTTACATTTAGATCAGACTTCCTTAAACTGTAGGCAGTACTTTTCCCACAGTAGCCTAGTTATGCAGCAGTCTTTATCACTGCTGCAGAGTCTTGGCAGGTGAATACAAATATGATTAACTAATACACCAAGGTCCTCTCCATCCTGCTCATTTCCAGTTCATGCACTTACAACTTAAACAACTTTTTCATCCTCCATTATTAATTACCAAGTATGTTTCCTCCTTTTCTCTGTACCACTAAATTACAATCACAGTTTTGTTAGGCAGGTTCTTGAGATTATCTGCTTTCAATAGCACATGATGGTAAGCTGACCTTGGCTGGCTGCCAACCCCCAACCCAGTGATGCTGTCACTCCCCCTCCTCAACAGGGCAGGGGTGGGGAAATAAGATGGTAGGGGAGAAAATAAGAGGAAGAAAATAATACGAAAAAAACTTGTGGGTCAAGATAAAGACAGGGAGATTACACTTACCAATTACTGTCACAGGCAAGTCAGACTCAACTTGGGGAAAATCCATTTCATTTATTGCCCATAAAAATAGATTGCATGATGAGAAAAGGAAAACACTAAACCACCTAACCACCCCTTCTTCCCAGGCTTCAGCTTCACTCCTTCATTTCTGAGTCTTCCCCCTCCTCCCCCATCCCAAACAGTGCAAGGAGGATGGGAAACAGGCTGTCCTCAGCTCATAACAGTTCCTCTCTGCTGATTGCTTTTCCTCATTATTCTTCCCTGGCTCCAGCTTAGGGTCCTTCCCACAGGCTACAGGCCTTCACAAACTGCTCCAGTGTTCTTCCCACAACTGCAGCTCTTCATGAACTGCTCTAGCATGTCTTTTCCACAGGGCACAGTCCTTCAGGAAGAGATCACTCTGCGGGCCCACAGTTCCTACCAGAAAACCTGCTCCTGCATGGGTTTCTCTTTAGGGGCTGCAATTCCCAACAGAAGCCTGCTCCATGGGCTCTCCATAGGCTGTAGCTTCCTTCATGGCATCTCCACCTGCTCCAGTGTGGGGTCCTCCATGGGCTGCAGTGCAGATATCTGTTCCAACATGGTCCTCCATGGGCTGCAGGCTCTACCTGCTTCACCATGGTCCTCTCCATGGGCCACAAGGGAATCTCTGCTCCAGCGTCTGGAGCAGATTCTCTCCCCTCTTCCTTCTCTGACCTTGCTGTTGGTAGGGTGGTTTCCCACTGCTCATCATCCCCCACCTTCCCCTCACAACTGCTGAGCTTTTACTTTTCCTTAAAGATATTATTACAGAGGCACCATCGGAAATAAAATGAGCCTGAAAAAAGTAGGTTCTTCAGCTGAGTATGAACACAACCCAAGTAACTCCATATTATTATTAAAATCTATTTTACTCAACTCTAAAATACTAATTAAGAACAGAATTTTGTTTTAACATGTTATATGCTTCCAGGATGCAAGTCAGCAGTTTCTACAGGTTGGACAGCTGATTATCAAGAAACAGACATGGGATTTTTCTTGACTGGACAGTAATAAGAGATACTGAGTTATTTTTGCTGAATTAATCTAGCTGTTGCAGCCTGTTAGAGTTATTCCTTTAAGATGTACACAGATAAAAAAGCGGTCCTATTCCTTCATACAAAGTTCAGGGTTTTCCTTGCAACCATGAAAAATCTATTTACGAACCTTGGGATTCTACACATAACTCTAAGACGGGTTTCATATTTTCAGAGAAATTCTTCTGCCTTGGAATCCTGAATTTCCACTGTTAAAAGTCAAACTAAAGAGTGATCCTTGTGTACTGCCAAAAAAGCAAACCTTGAGAAACATCAGCTCTACATAACATTAAACTTATTCAAAGTAGTATAAATCATGTAGGATAGTATATATCATGTAGTAGTATAAATCAAGTATGCCAGTGAACTAAGCAAAACTGACATCAGACAGCAGATATATACAAGATATATCAAATGCCAGACATCTAACAGTCTCAGGTCACCATCACAGGAAACATACTGAGATCAGTATTAAGTTTTTAACTACAGATAGGCATCTTCAAAAGATCAGAGGCACAGACAGAACTTGAAGCAGAACAAACTCTCCTTGGCTACATTCAATTTAGGGTGACGATCATCCTGCCCCATTTTATCTTGCTTGGGGTCAAATGATGCGAGATGTGCAGACAACCTACAGTGCTTGTCAGCCCACGAGAAAAAGTTGTTAACACTGTGCAAAGAGCATTTTAATACTAAACACAGCACAGATTATTACCTGAAACCAAAGTCACTTAGTACAAAGCTGTTTCTGTTTCTTAAGAATAAAACGGTGAATTTTGACCAAAAAAATACTACCTTTTTACGCTTCTTAGGGCACACAAACCTTTGTTTCCCCAAACCATTTTTCCCAAGGAGTCATGCCAAATTAAGCAAATTAATTCAGACATCTGTAATGCTGAACAGATTCCATGTTTACCTCTTAAAATATGAAACAGTTGTCTAGTGAATCTGAACATAAGATAGCTTAAAAAATTCAACCCTTACTTTCCAGTATTTTCTGATTATAATCATATCCCAAGAATTTTTCCAGCTATTTGTGACAATTCTGAACAAAATACCCTCTTTCTTTTTACATAGCACTACTGCTTCCTAGTAAGTACATTAAAACATCTGAGGTGTTTATCATGTTCCTTCATATTTTTAATTTCATAAATACTCAAATTATATTAGATTTGTGTTTCTAACATAATTGTTCACTACTATAAATACTCCAGAACAACATATGGAAAAGTAAAACACACTCTCAAACCTTTCATCCTGTATAAAGAGAAAGAACAATGAGAGCTGCTTTTCTCCCACTAGACACTGCTTCTACTCTGTGGTTAAGAGAATAGAACCCCAGCACCTAATCCCCAAAAAAAGAAAGTACACACATACCAGCTGATTAGAGGAAAAGCTTTCTAACAGTTTAGCTAAATATCCATAAGTAGAATGTAAAGAATAACAATTTACATGTGAATCTACTTAGCTGAAAATGGGTATAAGCAAAGGATTAGAAAGCCCTAAAGATTCAATAACATAAGAAACCTCAGTTCAGAGCGTGACCAAGGTCAGATGCCACGATATAGAACTTGACACCTCTGCAATCAGAAGCTGCACTATCAAAGCAGTCAGGAGACAAACCTGGTGCTGAACAATGGTGACAACAAGAACCATTTAAGCAAGACCAAAATAAATCCTACATATACAAGAATTTCAAGATATGAAAAAAGGTTATTTTCTTTGAAAAGCATAAAAACTTATTAAAACTGAAGTGTACCTTTTACCATTTAAATTTTTCATTAAAATTTATTATTTGCTCAAGTAACTTTGAGAAACTACAACACAATAATTTAATCTATAGATCAAATACTATTTCAAGACAAAACTAAGAAATATATCAATCATGTTACATTTTATGCACATTATTGATTTTTTTTCATGTCACAATTGATAAAGCCAACAATTTAAGAGAAAAAATGCTATTGTAGCTAAGCAGCATGTATTTCAGCTGATTCTCACACACTTCTGCACAAGAAAGCCACATAATTTCTTGAGGTACGTTTGAGGAAACATACTCTTGCCAATGAGCCACAACATTGCACATTGACAGTATTAGTTTAGTGGTTATGATGAGGAAAAATGAACATCTTAAAAGATGCAGTGATTCAGGCACATTGCTAAGAGTCTAAAACCTTGGGTTCTGATTCTACCAGCTGTATTTTTTAACGAAGGTAAATTATTTACTTGGTATCTTAGTTTCATTATCTGTAAAGTGAAAAGTGGCACTTATGACAGCGGAAAGATTTATACAAATTTTACTTGAGAGTTCTATATTAATTTTTATATGAAAAGTTAGATCTCGAATCAGAAATAGCATTGCATCCTATACTGATGATAAAGTTGACCTCTACTGTGCTGTGTTTTGTACAAACAATTTCACACAGCATTACTGAAGTTACAGATACTGTATCTATAAAAATGAACCAAAAATAGTAAGGTAAGGAGGGCATCCCAACCTAACATGCCATCTATCTCCTCTGCAGTTGCTTTAGAAGTAAAATCAATTTTAGAGATGCATCAAACACGGAAATAGGCTTTAACTGTTAAAAAACTCTTGCACATTACTGACACATTCTTAGAAATTGGAAGAAAAAAGCTTTGAAACTTTACATTTTAGATCAACATGAATTTAATTTGCAGGATAAAGTCACAGGGGCATCAAATATCACAGATCTGCAAGCAATGGAAATATCAGATTTTAAATAGGTAAGAAATCTTCAACAGTGTGAGACAAATAAGTTAAAACTTTTCCCATAAGACAGCTCAAATACAAGCATTCATGAGCTCTGAAGGAGCAATATAACACTTTACTGTGTAGTGTATCAGGCTCCTTTAGCTGTAGCAGTTAAATTTTGCAAAAAAAAAAAAAAAAAATCAGCACACTATTTTAAAAAAATGTGAAACCTTTGATGCAAAAAAACCCAAAACTTTAATCACTAATCGCTTTAAAGCCCAATACATACAACCAGGAAAAAAAAGAGAAAAGATAGTGCACACATAACAATATTCTGTTCCCTTTTCAAATGTGCTTGCTTGTCACAGCAGATGGGAGTACTATTCATGAAAACAAGCTTTAATCCAAATTTATACATTTCTTAAATGTTTTTATGTCTTACTAGTAGCATGCTTAGCTAGAGACAGGAAAAAATATTCTGAAAACATCAGCAAAGTAGTATTTGAAGTTCTCCCCTTTCCCCTTGAAAATACCGTGTTATGTATATGATACAGGCCAAGGAACTTGCACATTATGAAGAGGACAAAACCATAACCAAGTTAAAGCAATCATTCCGAAACTCTTCTAAGGAAAGATATACAGTACGTGCCACTCTGCCTCATGTACTAGCACTACATAAGTTACATGCTTTACAAATTACCCTATCAGATAATGAATTGTAAAGAAATGAGATGGAACATTCTGAAGGTATGAACACAGAAAGAACTTTTTTTTAAGCCGAAAAATTAACTTGACAAAACACTTTTTTCAACACTTCAAAGCAATTTTTTGCTGGATAGTCCTCATCTTGTCAAAGAGAGATAAATCATTTCATACTTAACCAAGGACTCAGACAGTTATTCCAGCAAAATCAAACCCATTTGGCCTAAGACTAGGTCTTATAAGGGTAATGGTAAAGGTATATATATAAACACACTTCAGTATAGATAAGACTTCATATATATATAAAATATATAAAAATAAAACCTTTGATTTATATGTAACAAAGACGTTTTATACACACACACACACACATATATATATAAAAAGCCTAGACTTTCTTGACCACTAAAAAGATCAAACTAGCATCCACTACCTTCCTTTTCACAGTTAATGTCAATAGGAAGCTGAATAGCTTGTCTTCCCTTTCTAAAAGGTGTTCAAAAACAAAGTAGGAGAAGCAATATTCCAGAAGACTAAATCTTTCTCATGAGAACTTCTCAGGAAAACTTAGCTAATCTTAAATTTCCCTATACAGGAACAAAACCTAGGTATCATTTTACCGAGTGTTTTGCTTATGCACAGTACTGACAACATCATGAAATGAACATTGGAAAGAAAAGCATAGGAAGAGTTCCTTTTTAGAATTCAATTTCTACTTTAAACTACCTTTAGCTAAAAGAAAAACCAGTAAGTTAAGGTCATTGCATTAAAAGCTGACTCATTTACCTTCAAATAAACTGAGGTCTCTTCGTAGCCTTGGTCCATAAAGCCCTTCTAAAATACTTTCAAAACCTGGAGACAAAAGAAACATTTAAAACAGTCAATCAAAATTTCTTCAAATAAAGCAAATTCGAGAGCACTGACAACAAACATTCTCAAATTCTGAGAGCAATCCCCAAAATTGTTAAATTTATGATACGAATATTTACTTCTTCCACTATAGTACTACTCAACAGAATTAGGAGATAAAAATAAGACAAGGCAACTGCCATCTGCCCACAATCAGCCTATTAAGCCGTGCCCCAACAACCTCATTAGACTTAAAATAACTACCACAGAATCTTAAAGGTGGGAGGATTAGCCTCATAGCTCTATAACAAGTGAAGTAGTCTCTCTCTTACACTGGGAATCAGAGTCATGCATGGAGAGGTGAAAGAGAAAAAAAAAGGAAACCTTCAATATCAGAAATTTCTCATTTATGACCTCCTGAAATTACATAATCTGAGTAGGCTAATATTCCTACAAATATAAAAAAGCAAGCTTATTTTGCTTCTGATACCATGACAGTACTCCCTAGTCCTCTGTATCCATACAAAAATGTTTTAAAATTGAGGATTAGATAAATCCAATTATTTTCCTGATTTACTAGCTAGTCTGTTCAGGTATTTGGTAAAAATCACATACTGCAATAAGGGAGAAAAGACACAGAGCAAATCAAATTATTGAAAAAAACCCAATGGAAAACAACCAAAAAAAAAACAAAAAAGAGATGCATGACAACTGATGAAATATGGTAAGAATTTACATCATCAATATAACAGAAGTTTTGTTCAATACAGAAAGAGTTTCCAAGTGCCCCCCTTTCTCCTCCTTCCAAATAATAAGCTTACTTGAAAATAAGAGGATAATTCAAAGCAGCATTTGAAGGTTCTCATTCCTTATACTAAAAGCCTATCTGTATTATATATGTAGTTATTTAACAGAACTTTGCAAGACTATTTTATCATCACACCACATAAAAGACACCAAAATCTTCAGGAAACAACTACCATCAACAGAGAACATTTAGAATCACAAAATTTACTCATCATGTGATGCCTTTTAAGACAACACAACATCCTGCTCTCTCGTCAAAAGTTACATTATCTTTTTGGTTTAGGCCGTATGCACACTAGTATAAGAAAAATAAGTAAGTACCATATCTTGAGTAGAAAAGGGAAGCTATCTTAACACATTGGAGCTGCTTAGATTGACAGGTTAGATTTTGTTAAAATTTGCTTTATAAAATAATTTTAACATATGGACTATATATCATGAAATTCAATCAATTACAATTATACTCAATTATACAATTATATTAATGAGAGGACACAAATTAAATGTTAAACCTGCTGTCCACTCACAAATATATATGCACACATTTTTTAAACAGTAAAAAAACCCACAAAGCAAAAATCCAAGGCCCAAGCTTATACTAAAATTTACCTTAAAGCATTATCCACCGACTCTTAGAATCAATGTAATACAAATTCACATCATATTAGCATTGCACAAATTCCCCTCTCTTCTGACTTCAAAGCGTTATGGACAAAAAAAAGCAAGAGAGGTGAAGTCTGAAGTTAAGATAGCAATTCTCCAGACACAACAGATTAGAAATATAATACACACTATTATGCATTGCTATGATCAATAATGTTATAAACTACAAGCCACTTTAGGTCAGCAGCTAGTTAGGTTCTGGCAAATTACTGTCAGTGGGTAAAGAAATGAATGAAGTATCTCTTAGAGACAGTTCTGCTTATTTCAAAAGAGCAAACACCAACACATATTTCTTAGTACTTTGTCAATCAAACAACAGGAAGGTTGTTTACCATCCCAGCCAGCATCTAAAACCTCCTTGCTCCTTGGACACCTACCACCCCCCCACCCCGTGGAGGGTGTTACTTGTTTCTGCCTTTACTTTTGTCCTTATCTGCCTGCCTTACTGCCTGCTCCTATCTACGCAAAAACATTATTTTTTTATTACCCTGAGCAAAGGACACACCAACCCACTTCTCTGTTAATTCACCAAACTTAGTTCCATCCTACCCAACTGCTTCTCTTCCAAGTCTTACAGAACTTCTCCATGGAGCCACAATAGATTTACTCTGCATGATCATTTGCTTCCTCGCCTTTGGATACTGGACGTCTTCTTTTAAAAGAACATTTAGTTTTACAGTCTAACAACATCAAGAGAATCTTCTTCCACACCTTATTCTAAAATTTTCCCAGAAAACACCCGTATAACTTCCACACTCCATAAAGTACTTCTGCTGCCTTTCAGTAGATTGATACAAGTTTAATTTAGCCTAAGTATGAAGATACAATCTTAGTTTCTAGTACAGCTACTGATAAATGTGTGCTGGCACTGTTTCATAAAATGTAACCACCTCAACACAGGCATTTCAATAAACCTTTGTTCTCCTTCTTGAGTCAATATGCATATGCAAACAGTAGTAGCAGTTTTGGAACTCTCCAGAACCTGAGGAGCCTACAGAAACCATCCAGAAACACATTTTGCTTATACCTCTCATGATTCACTAACAAAAAAATCTTCTCCAAAGTAATTTTACAGAATTTTCTGTCTCTTTGTGGTTGATTGCCTCTCTGATTCCAAACTGCCTTTAAAAAGTGTTACTTGAGATCTGACACTTCCCGGCTCTGAACTGAAAAGCAACACTGTTGGCTCTATTAACTTGCAATATTCCAATCTGTCCAACTCCTATCTCTAATAAATTTCTTCTGTTGTCTCACTTCTCATATCTTCATATAGAAAGAAGATCAGCTTTCTTCATTATCTCAAACCCTTTAAGATCCAAGACAGGTTCCCACAACAGTCTTCATAAGCAGAAATTTGTGATACAGCTAGTCTCTTAACCCAGTTACAAGTTTCCATAGTTTGCTTCTCTGAACAAAGTTGTGAACAGGTTTTTATCCTCTACATTAACTCTCACCCTGCACACCATCCCCTCTACCAACTCTACTCTTTCCTCACAGGGACTCCCAGAAGCCGGGAGGATGAAGCTATGATCTCCAGCAACAGGAAGGGGGCTCTCTTTTTCCATAGGTAGCTATTCAGGTGCCAAAAAGGTGAACAACCCAGGAACAAGTTCCATCAGGTTTGGCATCTAAGCCTGATCCATGGGTCAACAGCCAAGGTCACGAAAAGGAAGTAACACGTGACAGTAACTGCAGAATCCCATGAGGCTTCTGCATAGCAGCTGGACTGCATGTCTTACAAATTCAGTAATTTGTAATTTGTAATTCCATGGTCCAAACATGGAATGTTGCAGAGAAACTTTTATGGCTCATCTGGCCATTGCAATATTATCATTTGTTGCCCATCTACCTGGCCACTGTGATACTGCCAAAGGTGATCTTCAGCAGATCAGAGCTAACTACAGGAGCACACGGACAATGGTGAATGACGCCAGGTGTCAATATAATAAATAACAGAGCCCAAGTGCTGATCCAGGGGGAACACTTTGTTAGGGAAAACACATTCCATGGATCAACATCTGACTACGTGGCTGCAGGAGGGACTTCATCTCTTAAGACAGTTCTGAGAAACAGAAAGCTTGAGAAAGACAGGATCCATTTGACTGTGCAAATCACTGCTAACAGGCTTGCCTCATAATGAGGTCTTCAACCTAGGTTTGCCAGGGAAGTGGAGACTGAAGCCTAGAAAGGAAGAGAATGGCAGAAAGGGTAAATGCACAAGACAAGACACAATGAGGACCTTACAGTCCCCCTGAACAAGTGGCATAAGGAGAGACACACCTTAAGCAGCTCTATATGAATGCATTCAGCACAGGAAGCAAGCATGAGGGATTATAAAACTGAGCACATAATGATCTTACTGGGAGTACACAGTAGAGTGAGACAGTTCACACAACTGCTCAACTGCAGTTTAAGAAAGAAGAAGTGAGAAAGTTAAGGACAGTGCTCAGACTTTATACAAAGAACTTGAACAAATGGAGCCTTAGTGTGGAATGGGCTACAGGACAGTTGAAAATCTACCAGTCAGGATTCAACCAGGCAAACATCATGGTGAACATCTGTTACAGACTTTACAGACTGCCAGTCAAGGGTAAAGAAGAAAAAAGGCTGCACAATCACCAGCCTTAGCTCCCATAAAAAAATCAGTCACCAAGACATATGCTGGAAATGTAACATGGTAGTGCACCAGCAACACGGAAGATTCTCTGGTGTTTGGCGGACAAACCTGCCTGAGGGGGTGGACAAGCTCAGCAGAAGATGCACCCTGCTAGCTGCTACTCATCATTAAGGAAGAGTTAATCAGTGATGTGACAGTTAACAGTGGTCTTGGTCACAGCAACCATAGGATGGAATTTAAGATCCCAAGGGAAGTGAGGAACCTGAGTAGCTGAATGATTTCCCTGGGCTTAGCGGTCACTGATTTACGACCCTCCCCCAGGACAGGGGGACTGCAGTGGAACTAGAAGTAGGATGCTGTACTATCTTGTCTAAACCAGGGAAGCCTTAAATGGGCCAAGGGCCTATGGCAACATTTTTGCTGAGTTATCCTACTAACTATTTTATAAAGTCAGAGAAATTGCAAAGTGAAGAGCAATTACCACTGCTGAGTAATTTAAAAACCAATACTTTGTGAATTAATTCCAGTATGTTATTTTAAGTGTCTCTACAAGTTTACTTAGATTTAAAACATGATTATTAAATCCAAAGGAAGCCTTCACAACTTTAAAATAAAATTTTCTTAAAGAGAAGCTACCTTTCAGCTGCTCACAGAGCTTTATGATTTAAGTTTCCCCTAATGTTTTATCACAGTAAACTGCTCAGTGTCTGAAACATCCTAAAAGTCTGTCTGCATTAGAGAGTGTATGTTGCCATGTATAAACAGTACAGGCTGTAAAATTCATTGTAATGAATAAAACAGAGTAATAATTAAATGTATACATTCCATGGAAGCTTCCCAGATTGTGCACGTTATACACACTTAGAGGTACTCAAGGAACACACAAGGACTCTTTTCTCACTGCATGACCAGATAG